GGGGATACTCCCACAGGTGAGAGCTTCACACAGAAAACACAGGAGCATGAGGCCTGTGGGTTTGGATACGTGGTCGTCTGATGTGATGGGGAAACGAAATCTCCGGAAGTGTATAGGGGTCCTGACGCGGCTGAAAGGTTTCTATAGTGTTTGCAGGAGGAAGAAAAAAATATCAGAAATGCACTGTATACAATCGCCCCCATGCGTATGACCAAAGCCGACCGGCTAGCTCACGCCTGTAGCACTAACTGCTACGTGTGTGACTCACCACTTAACGGTGATTCAATGGGAGATCACTGTCACGTAACAGGTAAGTATAGAGGCGCCGCTCACAGCGCGTGTAACCTCAAGCTTAGAATCATCCCTAAGACAATAAACATCCCCGTGGTCTTTCCCAACTTGAGAGGGTACGACTCTCACTTAATCATGCAGGCCATCGCAAAAATCGATGGTAATATAACGTGTATCCAAAACAACATGGAGAGATACATCTCCTTCAGCTTAAACGGCCTTAGGTTCATCGACTCGGTTCAGTTCCTACTGTCGTCACTCGACAGTCTGGTCAAGGCCAACGATACCTTCCCTATTACCGATCGATACACAGACGCCGAGACTAGATCCCTGTTGATGAGGAAGTGTGTGTACCCCTATGAGTACATGGATGGTTGGGCCAAGTTCGCCGAGACCAGACTACCCCCCATCAGAGAATTTTACAGTAATCTGACCAACTCGGCAATGTCCCAAGACGATAACTCACACGCTATTAATGTATGGAATAAACTGGGTTGTAGGAATCTGGGTGACTATCACGACCTGTACATGAGGACAGATGTACTGCTGTTAGCAGACGTGTTTGAGACGTTTAGGCGGACATGTTTCAAGCAGTATAAACTCGTGCCCAACTGAATGAATAAGACCAAGTACATCGTTCACTATCGCAACCTACAGCTGTACCTGTCGTTGGGTATGAGGCTGACCAAAATACACAGGGTGCTCATGTTCGACCAGAGCCCATGGATGGAGCCCTATATCAGAATGAACACAGACCTCCGAAAGCTTGCCACCAGTGACTTTGAGAAAAATCTATATAAGCTCATGAACAACTCGGTGTTCGGTAAGACTATGGAGAACCTTAGGAAACGCGTGACCGTGAAGCTGGTTCGGTCGAATGAGGAAGACAAGCTCAGGAGACTGATAGCCAGTCCGGCATTCAACCGTAGCAAGATATTCACCGATGACCTAGTTGGACACTAAACGTTGGATAGCTATTGATGGGATAAACACGTACGCGTACGGGCATGAGAAAATTGAACCAAGAACATAGGTGTATGTATAAATACAATACCCTGTCAGGGCGACATGTCACGGAACCAGAGAAGGTTTGAGGCTATTTACTACGGCCCGCGTGGGTACTGGAAAGGAGCTAGCGCTGTAGATAAGTTTGCTGAAATGGCGCGAGTACCCCTTGAGGAGGCCAAAGCGTGGCTTGAAAAAAAAGCACTTTGGTAGATCTATTTGGCGCCACCACGCTACGTGCCTAGAAGGAGGTTTGGTATTAACATACCCAATAGCGTTCACCAGGCAGCGTTCTACCCGACGACAAGAGGTACAAGTATGCCTTAACCGTAGTGGACGTAGCCAGTCGCTACAAGGAAGCCGAACCCTTGACAGCGAAAGATTCGGCCCAGGTAGCCAGAGGAATTGAACGCATATACAAACGCAGCCCGCTGACGTGGCCAACAGAGCTGCAAGTTGACCCCTGGCGGGAGTTCATGGGTGTCATGTCACACCTGTTAGACAAACATGATACAAAGGTCAGGCGTGGCACGGCTGGAGCCCATCGCAGCCAAGCCATAGTTGAGAGATTCAATAGAACTTTGGCTGAGCGCTTATTCGGGCATCAGTATGTGAGAGAGATGGCCAACCTGGGGAAAAGATCGACTGAATGGGTCATGAGGTTACCCAAGGTGGTGTCGGCAATCAACCATGAAGCCACCCGTCTCACCGGCAAGAAACCGGCAGACGCTATCAAACTAAAATCAATAGTGGCAGAGTCGGCTGCTCCATTGCGTGGGAAGGAGAAACAGATACCAGATAGGGCCCTAGTTAGGTATCTATACCAGCCGGGGGAACACAAGGGTGATAGCCGTAAGCGAGCCACCGATCCTATATGGTCAGTCAAAACTTACAACATAGATAAAGTGGACATGAAAGCAGACGAGCCTAACTTGTACTACTTGAGGGATGGGCCAGGTAGAGGGTTTGTTAGAGCGGAATTATTGATCGTACCATACGGCACAATGTTAACCCCCCAAGTAATCCCAATATCAACACATGTCACATGATCAGTTCGCTATCCCAGGATAGACCCGTTAAACCAACCAACTTCAACCATATCCCCGGTAGCTCAGTCGGTTAAGCGGCGCGGTTGTGAGGTATACCTGTGGCGTTCGTATCCCGCTAGCGTTTCAAACTTTTTTATAGTAGGGGTAATGGTAGCAAGAGCTAAGCGTCCGACCAAAGCCTTATTTCACAAATAAGGCTTTGCAGAGGCTTTTGTTGGACCTGGTCCAAAACCCCCATTGTATATACTACTGTTGTGGTCTGTACCCGGCGACTGTAACCCTGAGGCACAATGGGTCCGTGATTATGACCATGCAATGCATGAGAAAGTAACTAGGTCGTTTGTCTGCTACATCACACCAGATTGCCTGAGAAGTGTTATCAAAAAGTCCAAATCTAATACAGATCCAGGGCCTGATGGCATTCGAAACCGGTACTGGAAACTGTTCCCCTGTGTCCAAACACCATTACTTCACTGCTTCAATACTCTCGTGGACACAGGTGATGTTCCTCCGTGGTTCTGCAAAGGTCGCACAATACTCCTCCCCAAGACAGGATCCCAAAAACATCCGCCCTATCACATGTTTAAATACACAATACACATTATTCACAGGGTGTTTGACAAACTTCGTGTCATCATAATGTTCTGCTAATGATATAATTTATAGAGAGCAGACGGGAGCACGAAAGGGATCTTGGGGGTGCAAGGATCAACTTCTTGTACAGAAAATGATTTTGGAAGAGGCTAAAACATTTCACCGCAACCTCTCTATGTGCTGGATTGACTACAAAAAAAGCATACGACTCTGTCCCTCATGAATGGATTCTGAAGTATCCTCGTTGTATTGACCTCCCGGAGCGACTACTTGATTTATTCAAGTCTTTAATGGGTTGCTGGTCAACTCAACTTGAGATGTACTCGCAAGTGCAGGCGAAGACTGTGGAATCTATTCCAATCCAGGGGGACTCCTTCAGTCCTTTGCTTTTTTGTTTGTCTCTAAATCCTTTGAGATTTCTGCTCAACAGAGAGGAGGGTTACCATCCCGGACCTCCTCAGCACAGATACCCAAAACCTCTTACTCATCTTCTTTATATGGATGACATCGAGCTCCTTGCCAAAGGAGACACCAATTTGAAAGAACAGGTTCTCCTCGCCGAGTCCTTTTCTAATGACATTGCCATTGACTCGACAAATGTAATACTCTTCATTTAAAACGTGGCAAGGTAGTTAATGGTGGATCGGTCAAGTTACATGGGGGAGGAGTTATTGAGCATCTTGTGGAAGATCAGGCCGACACCTATCTTGGAATGCAAGTTCGAGACAAGCTCCAGAATGCCCAAATTCAAGACAAACTTCGGGCCGAGTACAAATCTCGCTTAAAGAAAATTTGGAGGTCAGAGCTAAACGCTCGAAACAAGGTCAAGGCCACCAATACTTTTTCTGTGCCAGTCCTCTCCTATTCCTTTGGAGTAGTTGATTGGACAAAACAAGACATTCAGAGTCTTGACCGCCTGACCAGAAGGATCATGTCTGATAACAGAGCCCACCACCCTCGTTCCTCTCTCACCCATTTATATATGCCAATCAATGTGGAGGCTCTTCATGAGCTGTTGGACGGTACAGCAATGGGAGTAAACCAGGTGAAGTCCTTCACCAAGACTGCCCAGAATCGGTCGTTTGTGGAGGAGCTTTCTGGGAAACCATTGCATCGTGTGTACATGCAGTGTGTGGAACAGAATAGGAATCCCACCGACTCCTTCGCCTGGATGAAGTCGGCTGGTCTCAAATGTGAAACTGAGGGCTTCCTACTGCTGCTCAGGACCAGTCACTTCCCACTGTGGCACAAACAGCATATCTTAAAAGACATGATGGCATGGCTCGTTGCTTTTACTACCGTCTCCGCCATGCTTGTGGCTTGGACTGCGAGGTCCATCCATGGTACGACCCTGAACATGTCCAGGGCGTCATGGAAAATGATGCTTTCAAACTTTTGTGGAATAGGCCCATATACACCCTCAGAAGAATTCCTGCCAACAAACCTGATCTTGTCCTTTTTGATAAAGCCAATGAATATATTTATATCATTGAATTGTCTGTGCCTTTTGACAGCAATGTGATTGGCAAGATTCAGGAAAAGCATACTAAGTATGCGGACCTCGTCTTTGAAATGTCTGACTTGCATCCCAAGTACACTGTCGTCAGGCTCCCCATTGTTTTCGGTGCCCTTGGTTTGGTACCTCCTGATCTCGTGGCGCAGATCAGGAGAGTGCCCGGGTTCTCCACCCTCTCTCAGCCCTTGTGACACTCTGGGTAATGCAGAAGGCTGCAGTGTTGGGGAGCCTTCATATTCTCCGGAAAGGGCTTGGTGGGTTCGGCTAAGCAGTGTTTCCTGGGAGAAGTACCATTCGCTGTCTGGGCTGCGTGTAGAAGGGGGGAGGGCCCTGAGCTGATGATAAGCCTTACCAGCCTGACTGTGCAAGGATTACCCGAACCCTCTCTGCCGCATTAATCTGTAAACCATAATAAAACTGATACAATGATCTATGCCATCGTATCCCGATGACAGGCAAGGTTACATTCACCGCTTCTTGGATGAATGAATGAATGAATGAACGAACTAATGTGAGTGAGAGTAAACATGTCAATTCAAACTTACTCAAAGACTGAACTGATCCAAGGAGACACACAACGATGACCACCAGGCACGAGTAGTTGGGACACATGTCAAGTTAACCTGAAAGGAAATATATAAAGTGGCAATTGTCAACATTAGAGAACAATATTCATGATAGATCAGGTGGGTTGTCGCCACCTTTATTATCGATTTACTGGTAAGCTGATTTCATTTATTATGACAAAATGAATGCATGATTTTGAAAATGCTCTATTCATGTTAATTATAACTTTATGAAATCAGTCAAGTTCAGTATATAATGAGTGATTGAAATGAAACAATCAAATCACCAATCAAGACGCACATGAGGGTTTTGGTCATAAGCACCAGAATTTACACACTCACACAATGGGACTTCATTAAAATTGTTGGATGTGTAAAACCAGCTGATTAAGTTTTCCCTAATATACATTATCTCCTTTGGTGAAATCAATCCAAAATAGCCTCCGAAAATAAATTATCTTTGAAAATTGTTAAATATTTGCAAATATTATCAGAAGCATTTATAACAAGTTTAATCAAATTATGTATTATTATTGGAAGAAAGATACATTGTTTAAGTAAGATCAGTGAACTTAATACTTTTAGCTAATAAATGTTGTCAAAAATGTTGCAACACTATAACTAATACGTCCAGTTTTGTCAGCAATCCAACATCTCAGAGCTCTCATCTCAATCAAAGATGTCAAGAGGTTATATATAGTGATATTTGGTGAAGAAATTGGACGAGCACCGAAACAATCCGGCAGTCATTATTTTGATTTGATTCACTGTTGGCTAAAATATCATGGAGCAAAACAGTTGTGGTCATATTTTCTTTCCTATATAGTCGTTAGTGTATAACTTTTTTTCTAATGCTTTCATGAACCAACATAGTAATATTTTGTGATGATATTGGACGGACACTCAAACAAACTGGTGGTCATCATTTTCATCTTTAGTCAGCCTTTCAACTCCCTGCCAACATTTCGAATATCTGACAACATCTCCCTCTGCCTGACATCATATCCACTGCCCGACAACATATCCACTGTCCGACAACGTTTTCACTGCATGATAACATCTCCCACTATCTGACAACATGTCCACTGTCTGACAACATTTCCACTGCCCACAAACATCCCTCATTATCTGCCAACATTTTTAACTCCCTGTCAACATTTCCAACTGCCTACCAACATTTCCACACCCTGCCAACTTTTCCACCGCCTGAAAACATTTCCAACTGTTTGCGAACATATCCAACTCCCTGCCAATGTTTCCCACTCTCTGCCAACATTTAATATTGGCTGGTTACAAGAATAAACACTTCAGGTTTTCACGTCTACGTTTGACTTTCTAGCCTTATTTCGGGTTAATTCAAAATTCACTGTGTCCATCTATTTATGTGTTATCAATGCGATCATTGCGCAAACACAATATTGTTCAGACGTGAATAGAAAACATTGGTGTATCCAGAGCGTTGAAAATGACTTAAGATCACATTGAAGATTTTTTTTGACGTTGATTTTTCTAAACTGAAAAAACAAAAATTCCTGGATCCGCCCATGGACAACATTCTAATCACGGTGACTCATATAGTACTTTGAAGGTTTGTGGATGCTTTTGGAGGTTTTATGTTCTTTTGTTGTTGCTAATTATTGCATTGTTTTCGCTTTGTTTACGCTATTTTTCTATGTCTGAGTGGTAGAAGACTTTGCAGGCTTTGTGTCCTTTATTTTTGCTAATTATTGCATTGTTATCGCTTTGTTTTGGCTAATTTTCCTTTGTCTGAGTGGTAGAACGAAATAATATACTACTGGAATATTACGCACAAGCATTTAAACAGCGTATTATGTGCCTGTTCTGCAAAAGAAGTAGACCGATAACTATACTCCTAAAGAGGTATCACTAGACCAAGCTATTCTGGAAAACAACAGCATTGTTGAACTAGGATTGCCTCCTGGGCAATACTGACGGTCTTCACACTTCCCCATACACTCCCGTGGCTGCCTTTACTTGTACTGTTTCTTTGGACGCCAGGTGGAGCGTTCATTTTAACTCTCGGAATTACGGGTGTTTGGAGTGTATTCAAGGGCTAGAAACCACCCAAAACGTAGGCAGAACATGTTTTGGACACGAGATCAGATCGGTGAAATGCAGCCAGGGTCGCGGGGTCATGTACCTTTTTTAAGAAGTTCTGGAGAAGAAATAGTTGTTTTGTTTTAAACATATTTTATTCATTCAAGAAAAGGATTTGGCACAAGTTATCCAACTTAGAAAAGCCCTCTCCAGATAATGACACAATTCATCTTACAACAAAGTACACAAGTGACAGACATAGGCTAGGATATGTACAACAGATGTTAACTGAGAAAGCGTTTTGTTTGAGAGATATAGATATGTACATATTTGAAAACATTCTGGTTGTCAGTGATTGAGAGACCTGCATTGCCTTGTAAGATAAGATTAATATCAATCAGTGTTCTATTTTTGACAATATGTTCTAAAGATTTTAACAGTTTATGTCTTTGAATAGTATACAAAGGACATTCAAGAAAGTAATGAAAAACATTCTCACATCTATGGCTACATTGACATGATGCGTCATTTTTCACATTTATTCTATATAAATCATAATTAAGTGTACTCGTCATATATCTTAATCTAGTGTGCATAACATTGAACTTCCTTATTCCATATGAATAATATATAGGTGCACATTTTTCCTTCACGTGGATATAAGATTTAAACGTGGCAACAGAGTCGCAATTTCTAATAGCTAAGGCAATATTATTCCACACTTTAACTGTTGATGGAGTAAAAGATGACGTTGAGTACCTCAGTCTTGTATATGGTTGACTAAAGTTATTTGAGTTTCTTAACTCATAACTTGTCTGGCTGCTAACTACAGGTGGGAGTAAATCTTGAAGAAAAACTGGTGTCAGGCATTTTTTAATTTTATAAAATAATGTTAATTTGCGTCTTCTCCTTCTCTCAGAAAGTAAATCCCATCCCGTTTCGTAATACAATGAACTAGAAGATGCATATCTTGGAAGACCAGTAACTATGCGCGCTGCTTCAATATGAAGTTTTTCTAATCTATTAGCTTGTTCAATTAAACATCCATCCCATACCTCGCATGCGTACTCAAAGTGTGGCCTTATGAATACAGTATATATTTTCGCTAGTGTTGTTCTATTTAATAAGAACTGTAATTTCCGAAATGCTCCAATCATTTTAGATGTCTTTTTGATAATGTTTTCAGTATGATGATGCCAACTCCCGTTCGACGTGAAGATAAAACCCAGATGTTTATGACTGTTTTTATATTGCAGTTATCAAACTTCAAATATATGTCTTTTTTGCCATCTTTCAAAGTAAATAATATAGCTTCAGTTTTTTCCGGATTGTAGGAAATTAACCAGACCTTTGCCCAATCGTTTAATATTTCTAGATTTTCATTCATGGCTCTTTCCATCACTTGTTTGTCCTTTGATAAAGTTCCCAGTGAAGTATCGTCAGCGAAAAGCCGAGTTATGCAATGTAACTTATCAGCTATCTCATTTACATACACAATAAAAAGAAATGGCCTAAAACTGATCCCTGGGGAACTCCTGCTTTCAACACCATAGGCTTGGATAGCGACCCATTAACAAAGACTGACTGATTGCGATCAGTTACATAACTATTAAACCAATCAAGGAGTTTTCCACTGACTCCGTACATCTCTAAATAAGCTTAAGCCCTCTGTGCCAAACTCTATCAAAGGCCTTTGATACATCGCAAAAGACCATACAATAGTATTCTTTGTTATCGAGTGATGTACAAATTTGATTATAAATTTCTACAAGTTGATGTACAGTAGAATGACCTCTCCGGAAGCCACACTGATATTTGTATAACAAATCGTTTGACATCTGCAACCTCATTAACTTCGATTGTAATGTTTTCCAATACCGCATCGGTACGCTTGTCAAAATGTGGTAAACAAGTGGTATCTGCACCATTTAAATTAGATATAGACTCAAAATATTCATTTAACATATTAGCTTTATCAAAATCTGAAAAAGCTGATGGACAACCTTCATCTACATTTCTTTTCAAAGCAGGAATGAAGGAAGCAGAACCTGACGTCTTGATCAAACTGCATTCCGTTGTCCTTTGTTCTACGGTCAAAACGATTAGTGTTCTGGATTTGCCATGATCCTAGCTATCTGACGCTATCGATTATGTGCATATATTGCATCTGTGAAACAGTTATAGATTTATGTGTCTATAGTGCATTTGTGGAACACCCATTCAATACTTTCTGTGGTGCAGTTAAGATGATTTGAAAGTACGACTGCCATGGCCGCAGTTTTGTGTGTGAAGTTTTTTTCTGTTTTAAATGTATCAGATATTGTGCGTTTATGTGCTGGATTCCTGCAATCATGATCATGTAGCAGAAAGGGTTCGCGCGATCCTGGCACAGTCAGACTGATAAACAAGCTGCTGGAGTCCTAGGTTTTACCAAAAGCGCATTGTTCTTTGGGCATTGGAAAGCCAGCAATTGGTTATACATACCTGGGTTGTCAGTCAAGACGTGGTGAGGTAATTTTACGACGATGTCGTATTGGCCACAGTCGGTTTACTCATGACTATCTGCTGAAAACGGATTGGGATGGACCTCCCATGTGTGTCTCTTGCAATGTTCAAAGTGTTCACCATCAAGCATATACAGCTTGACTGCGCGGACTTTTCGACAGCAAGAGATTCACATTATGAAGCGATAAATCTGAAAGATCTGTTTTCCCTCGTGAGCGGGCATCTAATTGTTAGCTACCTGAGTGAAGTTGACCTGTACCATAATTTATAGCTATGTAATGTGAGTCACAGATTGCTTGTTTTTGAGTTTGGTGCTGTGTCATTTTTCACTTGTTAATAGTAATGTAATGAATATATATGTTAAAAACAACTCTTTTTTGGACTTTGTATATAAAATGTGTAAAACTCCAACTTGATCTCGTCACTGTATGGCTGGAATTACGCCGATGTGACGTAAAACCGAACTCAACATCAACTTGGCCATAGGAAAACCA